CACAACCATCATCACCACCAACAACACCACACATCACACAACCACCACAATCACAATCATCACCACAATCATCACCACCACAACCACCACCACCACACAACCACCACCACCACCACCACCACAACCACCCCACAATCATCACCACCACAACCCCACCACCACAACCACCACCACCACCACCACAACCACCACCACAATCATCACCACCACCACCACAACCACCACCACAATCACCACCACCACAACCACCACCACAATCATCACCACCACAACCCCACCACAATCATCACCACCACAATCACCACAACCCCACACCACCACAATCACCACCACAACCACCACCACAATCACTACACCACCATCACCACCACCATAATCATCACCACCACCACAATCACCACAACCACCACCAACACCACCACAATCACCACCACACAACCACCACCACCACAATCATCACCACCACAACCACCACCACCACAACCACCACCACCACAACCACCACAACCACCCACAATCATCACCAGAACCACCACCACAACCATAACCACCACCACAATCATCACCACCACAACCACAATCACCACCACAACCACCCACCACAATCAATCACCACCACCACCACAATCATCACCACAACCACAATCACACACCACCACCACAACCACCACCACAATCATCACCACCACAATCACCACCACCACCACAACAATCACCACAATCACCACCACCACCACAATCACACACAACCACAATCACCACCACAACCACAATCACCACCACAACCACAATCACCACCACAACCACCACCACCACAATCACCACCACAATCATCACCACAATCATCACAATCACCACCACCACAACCACCACAATCACAATCATCACCACCACAAACACCACAATCATCAACCACAACCACAATCACCACCACCACCACAACCACCACCACAATCATCACCACCGCCACCCACAATCACCACCACCACCATCACCACCACAACCACAACCACCACCACAACCACCACAATCATCACCACAACCACAATCACCACCACCACCACAATCATCACCACAATCATCACAATCACCACCACCACAACCACCACAATCACAATCATCACCACCACAACCACCACAATCATCACCACAACCACAATCACCACCACCACCACAACCACCACCACAATCATCACCACCACCACCACAATCACCACCACCACCATCACCACCACAATCATCACCACAACCACCACCACAATCACCACCACAACCACCACCACAATCACTACAACCACCATCACCACCACCACAATCATCACCACCACAACCACCACCACCACCACAAACACAATCACCACCACCACCACAACCACCACCACCACCACAATCACCACCACAACCAGCACCACCACCACAATCATCACCACCATCACCACAATCACCACCACCACCACAATCACCACAACCACCACCACCACCAACACCACCACAATCACCACCACCACAACCACCACAACCACAATCATCACCACCACAACCACCACCACCACAACCACCACCACCACAACCACCACAACCACCACAATCATCACCAGAACCACCACCACAACCATAACCACCACCACAATCATCACCACCACAACCACAATCACCACCACAACCACCACCACAATCATCACCACCACCACCACAATCATCACCACAACCACAATCACCACCACCACCACAACCACCACCACAATCATCACCACCACCACCAGTGGCGGCTCCTGCAAAATCTCTCAGGGGGGGCAAATGTCTGGATGATTGATAAGGATAAGGTCCACCCATGCAATGGATCAATTAACAGCTTAAGCATGTAAAGGCAACTTCACTTCTTTAATATTAATGAGAAATAAAGTGACTCTTACAATACATCTTGTTTGTTTCTATACTCACTATTAAAACAAACCACTCAAGTTTATTTTATTAAAGATTCCACTAGGTGGCGATAAATTATATTGTTGGATGAAACGTGCTTACGTATGATGACGTAAGCACGTTAGGGCTCGCCCTCCCGGAAGCCATAGAGAATGCATTGGAGCGCCCGCCGTTCGAAAAAAAACATCTTCGAATGTAAGTCTATGGGGCCACTCGGGGCGATTCTCAGCCGGAGTGAAATCGCCCAAAAAGAGGCGGTACTCCACAGAACGTGACATGACGCTGATTGGACTATATCCAGAGGCTGGCAATGACGGCTAGCGTGACTCTGTGGATGAATGACATTGGTGGTGCGTCGCCCAATCGCCCTAATGAAGAAACCGCCCCTGACCACCACCACAATCACCACCACCACAACAATCACCACAATCACCACCACCACCACAATCACCACAACCACAATCACCACCACAATCATCACCACAACCACAATCACCACCACAACCACAATCACCACCACAACCACCACCACCACAATCACCACCACAATCATCACAATCACCACTACCACAACCACCACAATCACAATCATCACCACCACAAACACCACAATCATCACCACAACCACAATCACCACCACCACCACAACCACCACCACAATCATCACCACCACCACCACAACCACCACAATCATCACCACAACCACAATCACCACCACCACCACAATCACCACCACAACCACCACAACCACCACCACCACAACCACCACCACAATCACCACCACCACAACCACCACCACCACCATCGGCACTGGGCGTGGTGTTGGCCACACCACCGCCTCGTGTGCCACCGTGCCGGCCTTCGCAGGCGCTGCACACTCACAGCACTTGCCCCGACAGTCTGCTGAGGCTACTCGGGGGACCTCTGTCTTTACCAGCAGCAGGTCCTTGCGGTCAGTGTCCTTCTGGCGCAGCACAGGGATGGCGCTGATGATAGCGTTGTACGTGTACAAGTTGCCTACACACACACAGCACACACGCTTAGTACACACGCAACACACACATGCAGTACACACGCAGCACACACACAGCACACACGCAGCACACACACACGCAGCACGCAGCACACACACGCAGCACACACGCAGCACACACACGCAGCACACACGCAGCACACACACACAGCACACACACAGCACACACACACAGTACACACACAGCACACACGCAGCACACACGCAGCAGCACACACGCAGCACACACACAGCACACACACAGCACACACGCAGCACACACACAGCACACACACAGCACACACGCAGCACACACACGCAGCACACACGCAGCACACACGCAGCACACACGCAGCACACACACAGCACACACACGCAGCACACACACAGCACACACACAGCACACACGCAGCACACACTTAGTACACACGCAGCACACACGCAGCACAAACTTAGTACACACACAGCACACACACAGCACACACACGCAGCACACACACAGCACACACACAGCACACACGCAGCACACACACGCAGCACACACACAGCACACACGCAGCACACACACAGCACACACTTAGTACACATGCAGCACACACGCAGCACACACTTAGTACACACGCAGCACACACACAGCACACACACAGCACACACACAGCACACACGCAGCACACACGCAGCACACACACGCAGCACGCACACGCAGCAGCACACACACAGTACACACACACACAGCACACACATACACCACACACACACCACACACATACACCACACAGCTCACACACACACAGCACACACACCACACATACACCACAGACAGCACACACACACAGCACACACACACAGCACACACCACACACACACAGCACACACACATACAGCACACACACAGTACACACACACACAGCACACACGCAGCACACACACAGCACACACACGCAGCCCACAAGCAGCACGCACAGCGCACAGGTGTAAGTGTGAGTAGGTGTGTGTGTGTGCAGGTGTGTGCAGGTGTGAGTAGGTGTGAGTGGGGGTGTGAGCAGGTGTGGGTAGGTGTGAGTAGGTGTGAGTAGGGGTGTGTGGGTGTAAGTGTGAGTAGGTGTGAGTGGGTGCGAGTGTGTGTGGGTGTGAGTGTGTGTGTGCAGGTGTGTGTGGGTGTGTGTAAGTGTGTGCAGGTATGAGTAGGTGTGAGTGGGTGTGAGTGGGTGTGAGTAGGTGTGTGTAAGTGTGTGCAGGTGTGCGTGGGTGTGTGTAAGTGTGTGCAGGTATGAGTAGGTGTGAGTGGGTGTGAGTAGGTGTGTTTAAGTGTGTGCAGGTGTATGTGTGTGTGTGCAGGTGTGTGTGGGTGTGTGCAGGTGTATGTGTGTGTGTGCAGGTGTGTGTGGGTGTGTGCAGGTGTATGTGTGTGTGTGCAGGTGTGTGTGGGTGTGAGTGGGTGTGAGTGGGTGTGAGTAGGTGTGTGTAAGTGTGTGCAGGTGTATGCAGGTGTGAGTGGGTGTGAGCAGGTGTGTGGGTGTGAGTGGGTGTGAGTAGGTGTGTGTAAGTGTGTGCAGGTGTATGTGTGTGTATGCAGGTGTGTGTGGGTGTGAGTAGGTGTGTGTAAGTGTGTGCAGGTGTATGCAGGTGTGAGTGGGTGTGAGTGGGTGTGTGTAAGTGTGAGTAGGTGTGTGTAAGTGTGTGCAGGTGTGTGCAGGTGTGTGTGGGTGTGTGCAGGTGTGTGCAGGTGTGTGTGTAAGTGTGTGCAGGTGTGTGCAGGTGTGAGTGGGTGTGAGCGCACCTTTCAGTCCAGAGTTGTTCATCTCCACGAAGAGGTTGAACGCTTCCTCCGCTGCTCGGTGCTGCAGACGACAAAGGTTCCCCACCCCCCCCCCACGATGTGGCCTGTTAGATTGTGTGTTCTTGCATGTGCACGTACGTGTGCTTGTGTCTGCGTGTGTACGTGAGTGTGTACGTGTGCTTGTGTCTGCGTGGGTACGTTGTTCTTGCTTGTGCACGTACGTGTGCGTGTGTCTGCGTGTGTACGTGAGTGTGTACGTGAGTGTGTACGTGTGCTTGTGTCTGCGTGTGTACGTTGTTCTTGCTTGTGCACGTACGTGTGCTTGTGTCTGCGTGTGTACGTTGTTCTTGCTTGTGCACGTACGTGTGCGTGTGTCTGCGTGTGTATGTGAGTGTGTACGTGAGTGTGTACGTGTGCTTGTGTCTGCGTGTGTACTTGAGTGTGTACGTGAGTGTGTACGTGAGTGTGCACGTGTGTACGTGAGTGTGTACGTGTGCGTGTGTATGTGAGTGTGTACGTGTGCTTGTGTCTGCGTGTGTACTTGAGTGTGTACGTGAGTGTGTACGTGAGTGTGCACGTGTGTACGTGAGTGTGCACGTGTGCGTGTGTACGTGAGTGTGTACGTGTGCTTGTGTCTGCGTGTGTACTTGAGTGTGTACGTGAGTGTGTACGTGAGTGTGCACGTGTGTACGTGAGTGTGTACGTGTGCGTGTGTACGTGAGTGTGTACGTGTGCTTGTGTCTGCGTGTGTACTTGAGTGTGTACGTGCGTGTGTACGTGAGTGTGCATGTGTGTACGTGAGTGTGTACGTGTGCGTGTGTATGTGAGTGTGTACGTGTGCTTGTGTCTGCGTGTGTACTTGAGTGTGTACGTGAGTGTGTACGTGAGTGTGCACGTGTGTATGTGAGTGTGTACGTGAGTGTGTACGTGAGTGTGTACGTGAGTGTGCACGTGTGTACGTGAGTGTGTACGTGTGCGTGTGTACGTGAGTGTGTACGTGTGCTTGTGTCTGCGTGTGTACTTGAGTGTGTACGTGAGTGTGTACGTGAGTGTGCACGTGTGTACGTGAGTGTGTACGTGTGCGTGTGTACGTGAGTGTGTACGTGTGCTTGTGTCTGCGTGTGTACGTGAGTGTGTACGTGAGTGTGCACGTGTGTACGTGAGTGTGTACGTGTGCGTGTGTACGTGAGTGTGTACGTGTGCTTGTGTCTGCGTGTGTACGTGAGTGTGTACGTGAGTGTGCACGTGAGTGTGTACGTGTGTACGTGAGTGTGTACGCGAGTGTGTACGTGAGTGTGTACGTGAGTGTGTACATGTGTACGTGAGTGTGTATGTGTGTACGTGAGTGTGTACGTGAGTGTGTGTACATGAGTGTGTACGTGTGCTTGTGTCTGCGTGTGCACGTCAGTGTGTACGTGAGTGTGTACGCGAGTGTGTACGTGAGTGTGTATGAGTGTATGTGAGTGTGTACGTGTGCTTGTGTCTGCGTGTGCACGTGAGTGTGTACGTGAGTGTGTACGTGAGTGTGTACGTGTGTATGTGAGTGTGTACGTGAGTGTGTACGTGTGCTTGTGTCTGCGTGTGCACGTCAGTGTGTACGTGAGTGTGTACGTGAGTGTGTATGAGTGTATGTGAGTGTGTACGTGAGTGTGTACGTGAGTGTGTATGTGTGTATGTGAGTGTGTACGTGAGTGTGTACGTGTGCTTGTGTCTGCGTGTGTACGTGAGTGTGTACGTGAGTGTGTACGTGTGCTTGTGTCTGCGTGTACATGTGCGTGTGTACGTGAGTGTATACGTGAGTGTGTACGTGAGTGTGGGGAGCGGTGGCGCAGCAGTTAGTGCGCTGCGCCACAAACCCGGCGACCCGAGTTCGATTCCCGCTCACGGCCACCCAACACCGGTGACGATTGTCTGAACCGGTCCTGGGCCTCCCCTAGGTCGACTCAGCCTCAACCGATTACCTGGTGCGGTGTGTAAACATCGCCACTCGGGAGACAAAGGCGGCCGGGCGTGGTGCTGCATACCCACCCCCTCGCATGCCGTGCCGGCCTTCGTAGATGCTACTCGCTAACAGCACTACCTATGAGATGTTCACTCAAAACTGCTCTAGAGGAGTTGTACTACACCCCTAGCTGCCACTGCAATTTAGTGGCCTAAAATACAATGTTTCGCTCCGGATGATCGCTGCAAAGTACGCAAAAGTATGATCTGTGTTTTTTGATTTAGTGCGCCGATCTTAAAGGTGCATTGAAACATGTTGATACTCCGACTGATGCTCCTGCTGCTGTTGTTGTGGAGTGACTCATGCGGCCAGCTATGGCGACAGGGTTGTTGGTGGTACATGTTGTTGACGTCGTTTATTGTAAAAACTCGGTCACAGTTCCTATGACCTGCACTGTTTCATTGCTTTCATGGCTTTATTTTGGTGATTTTCGAAAAGTTTTTTGGTTTGGCCATGTTTGTTTGTTGTAGTACAGAGTTAGACTGATGGCCTTAATCTAAGATGTCTTGTGGTTGTTGTTGTTCGACTTGCACCCCACTGGGATTTTTGCACACAGCGTTGGTGTACTGTGATTTTTTTCTGCAATGTTTTGCTGGCTTTTCTTGGATTTTCTGTTTGCACTTAGTCACATAGTCACTTGAAGATGTTTTCTTGTTCATGTTTTTGTTTTCTGTTTGTTGCGGTTGCACCCGATTCAAGAGCCGAATGGCTCACAGGGCTAGATACCTAATACATGAACTTTGATGTGCGTTAGTGCATTAGTGCATCGGTGCGACAGTGCGTTAGTGCATCAGTGCGTTAGTGCGTGTGCATCAGTGCGTTAGTGCATGTGCATCAGTGCGTTAGTGCATCAGTGCGTTAGTGCGTTAGTGCATCAGTGCGTTAGTGCGTGTGCATCAGTGCGTTAGTGCGTGTGCATCAGTGCGTTAGTGCGTTAGTGCATCGGTGCGTTAGTGTGTTAGTGCATCAGTGTGACAGTGCGTGTGCATCAGTGCGTTAGTGAGTTAGTGCATCAGTGCGTCAGTGCGTCAGTGCGTCAGTGCATCGGTGCGACGGTGCACCCACCTTGACCATGCCCTGGATCATGGCGCAGTAGGAGTGAGCATCCCGCTCCGGCATGGAGTTGAAGATCCTCTCCGCGTTGTTCCCCGCCCTACAAAGACAAAGGTCCCCCGTGTAGCCTCAACAGACGGTCGGGGCAAGTGCCGTTAGCGAGTAGCGCCTACCAAATGCAGGTGTGCACACGCCACGCCGGGTACTCAGTCAAGGCCACCCGACACTGCCATTGGTCGTGAGCGGGAATCGAAACTCGGGTGGGCGGTTTCGTAGCGGAGTGCGCTAACCGCAGCGCCACCGCTCCCTGCCGTGGTCACGCGCACAGCGCCGCCGGCGCTGGTTAGCGAGCGCCTATTAAGAGCTCGGAGCGCCACGTGCGCGGTTATGGGGGGTGGTACACACGCACACACGCGCGTGTGTGCGTGTGTGTGGATATGTGCACGCAAACTCCAAATATACAGCAGCAGGCGTCAGGGTCGGGATCGCACCCACGACCTCCTGCACACCAGGCGATGTAGTTAACATCTCCTAGCCACCGTGATGATGATGATGATGAGAGAGAGACACGCAAACTCCAAATCTACAGCAGCAGGCGTCAGGGCCGGGATCGAACCCACGAACCTCCTGTCAACCAGGCGAGCTAGTCAACATCTCCTAGCCGCCGTGTTTGCCCGACCCGTCGCCCACGCTCGCACCGCCCCGGTTACCGGCAACGCAACGGAGCCACCCCATGGGGGGACCTCACCCCCACCTCCAGGTGCGCTCCGGGATGGCCGCGCCGCCCCGTCTCCGGCCTGCGGGGCCTGCGGGGCCTGCGGGGCCTGCGGGGCCTGCGGGGCCTGCGGGGGCCGCAACTTCCCTCTCTCCGCCCTCGGCCCCCGCCTCCTCCTCCGCCTCCGCCTCCATCACCGCGGTCTCCGCCACCACGGGGCTCTCTCCATCCATTTCGCGGTCGGCGAGCACCCCGACCTGAGATCACACGCACCCCCCCCACCCCGCCCCGCCCCACCCCGCCACCACAGCAGACGCACGGACACGTACAGGCAAAGATTCACCCCCCCCCCCCTGCACCTCCCCCCGGTGTAGCTCACACAGGATGCTGGGGCAAGTGGTGTTAGCGAGCGCTTGTGACGGACTGCACAGTGCTCTGGCCCATGTCTCTACTGTGTCTCCTGTGTCTCCGTGTCTCCTGTGTCTCCATGTCCCCGTGTCTCTGTGTCCCTGTGTCTCCGTGTCCCCGTGTCTCCGTGTCTCCGTGTCTCCGTGTCTCTGTGTCCCTGTGTCTCCATGTCCCTGTGTCTCCATGTCCCCGTGTCTCCGTGTCCCCGTGTCCCTGTGTCCCTGTGTCCCCGTGTCTCCGTGTCTCCGTGTCCCTGTGTCTCCATGTCCCTGTGTCTCCATGTCCCTGTGTCTCCATGTCCCTGTGTCTCCTCTGTCTCCATGTCCCTGTGTCCCCGTGTCTCCGTGTCTCCGTGTCCCTGTGTCTCCATGTCCCTGTGTCTCCGTGTCCCTGTGTCTCCATGTCCCTGTGTCTCCATGTCCCTGTGTCTCCATGTCCCTGTGTCTCCTCTGTCTCCATGTCCCTGTGTCCCCGTGTCTCCGTGTCTCCGTGTCCCTGTGTCTCCATGTCCCTGTGTCTCCATGTCCCTGTGTCTCCGTGTCCCTGTGTCTCCGTGTCCCCGTGTCTCCGTGTCTCCGTGTCTCCGTGTCCCTGTGTCTCCGTGTCCCCGTGTCTCTGTGTCCCTGTGTCTCCGTGTCCCCGTGTCTCCGTGTCTCCGTGTCTCCGTGTCTCTGTGTCTCCATGTCCCCGTGTCTCCGTGTCCCCGTGTCCCTGTGTCCCTGTGTCCCCGTGTCTCCGTGTCTCCGTGTCCCTGTGTCTCCATGTCCCTGTGTCTCCATGTCCCTGTGTCTCCATGTCCCTGTGTCTCCTCTGTCTCCATGTCCCTGTGTCCCCGTGTCTCCGTGTCTCCGTGTCCCTGTGTCTCCATGTCCCTGTGTCTCCGTGTCCCTGTGTCTCCATGTCCCTGTGTCTCCATGTCCCTGTGTCTCCATGTCCCTGTGTCTCCTCTGTCTCCATGTCCCTGTGTCCCCGTGTCTCCGTGTCTCCGTGTCTCCGTGTCCCTGTGTCTCCATGTCCCTGTGTCTCCATGTCCCTGTGTCTCCGTGTCCCTGTGTCTCCGTGTCCCCGTGTCTCCGTGTCTCCGTGTCTCCGTGTCCCTGTGTCTCCGTGTCCCCGTGTCTCTGTGTCCCTGTGTCTCCGTGTCCCCGTGTCTCCGTGTCTCCGTGTCTCCGTGTCCCCATGTCTCCATATCCCCGTGTCTCCGTGTCTCCGTGTCTCCATGTCCCTGTGTCTCCATGTCCCCGTGTCTGTGTCTCCGTGTCCCCGTGTCTCCGTGTCTCCGTGTCTCCGTGTCTCCATGTCCCTGTGTCTCTGTGTCCCTGTGTCTCCGTGTCCCCGTGTCTCCGTGTCTCCGTGTCTCTGTGTCTCTGTGTCCCTGTGTCTCCGTGTCTCCGTGTCCCCGTGTCTCTGTGTCCCTGTGTCTCCGTGTCTCCGTGTCTCCATGTCCCTGCTGTCTCCGTATCCCCATTGCCAACAAGCCTGTCTCCGTGTCCATATTGCCGATCGTGTCCCCGTGACCCCGTGTCCCCGTGACCCCGTGACCCCGTGTCGCCCCTTACCCCGGCAGCTTCCTCCTTCAGCATTGTGGGGCTGCCCTCTGGCTCCCGGTCGCCGTAGAAACAGAGCAGGTCCAGCAGGCGGTTGGCCGTCTCCATGGGAACGGCCGTTCCTACGCAGACAAACAACGCGGCGCACGCGCAGGGCGCCCGCGGCAACCAAACGAGTTGAGCGGCTGGAACATCAAGCGGCCACGTGCGACGGGACTGCTGCGCGGGACTACTGCTGGTGCTTGTAACGAGCGGGCGGGCGGGTGAGCGGGCGAGTGAACGAGCGAGCGGGCGAGCGAGTGGGCAGGTGAGCGAGCGGGTGAGCGAGCGGGCGGGTGAGCGAGCGGGCGAGCGAGAGGGCAAGTGAGTGAGCGACTCAATGTCCTGCACGAGGCTGTAGTGGGTCACTGAGTGAGTGAGCAGGTGAGTGAGTGAGTGAGCGAGTGAGTGAGCAGGTGAGTGAGTGAGTGAGCAGGTGAGTGAGTGAGTGAGCAGGTGAGTGAGTGATTGAGCAGGTGAGTGAGTGAGTGAGTGAGCAGGTGAGTGAGTGAGTGAGCAGGTGAGTGAGTGAGTGAGGTGAGCAGGTGAGTGAGTGAGTGAGCAGGTGAGTGAGTGAGTGAGTGAGCAGGTGAGTGAGTGATTGAGCAGGTGAGTGAGTGAGTGAGTGAGCAGGTGAGTGAGTGAGTGAGCAGGTGAGTGAGTGAGTGAGTGAGCAGGTGAGTGAGTGAGTGAGCAGGTGAGTGAGTGAGTGAGCAGGTGAGTGAGTGAGTGAGTGAGCAGGTGAGTGAGTGAGTGAGCGAGTGAGTGAGTGAGTGAGTGAGCAGGTGAGTGAGTGAGTGAGCAGGTGAGTGAGTGAGTGAGTGAGCAGGTGAGTGAGTGAGTGAGCAGGTAAGTAGTGAGTGAGTGAGCAGGTGAGTGAGTGAGTGAGCAGGTGAGTGAGTGAGTGAGCAGGTGAGTGAGTGGGTGGGCAGGTGAGTGAGTGTGAGTGAGTGAGCAGGTGAGTGAGTGGGTGGGTAGGTGAGTGTGTGAGTGAGTGAGTGAGCAGGTGAGTGAGTGAGTGAGCAGGTGAGTGAGTGAGAGCAAGTGAGTGAGTGAGTGAGCAGGTGAGTGAGTGAGTGAGCAGTGAGTGAGTGAGTGAGTGAGCAGTGAGTGAGTGAGTGAGCAGGTGAGTGAGTGAGTGAGCAGGTGAGTGAGTGAGTGAGCGAGTGAGTGAGCAGGTGAGTGAGTGATGAGTGAGTGAGTGAGCAGGTGAGTGAGTGAGTGAGTGAGCAGGTGAGTGAGTGAGTGAGCAGGTGAGTGAGTGAGTGAGTGAGCAGGTGAGTGAGTGAGTGAGCAGGTGAGTGAGTGAGTGAGCAGGTGAGTGAGTGAGTGAGTGAGCAGGTGAGTGAGTGAGTGAGCGGGTGAGTGAGTGAGTGAGTGAGTGAGCAGGTGAGTGAGTGAGTGAGCAGGTGAGTGAGTGAGTGAGTGAGCAGGTGAGTGAGTGAGTGAGCAGGTAAGTGAGTGAGTGAGTGAGAGTGAGCAGGTGAGTGAGTGAGTGAGCAGGTGAGTGAGTGAGTGAGTGAGCAGGTGAGTGAGTGAGTGAGCAGGTGAGTGAGTGAGTGAGTGAGCAGGTGAGTGAGTGAGTGAGCAGGTGAGTGAGTGAGTGAGCAGGTGAGTGAGTGAGTGAGTGAGCAGGTGAGTGAGTGAGTGAGCAGGTGAGTGAGTGAGTGAGTGAGCAGGTGAGTGAGTGAGTGAGCAGGTGAGTGAGTGAGTGAGCAGGTGAGTGAGTGAGTGAGCAGGTGAGTGAGTGAGTGAGTGAGCAGGTGAGTGAGTGAGTGAGCAGGTGAGTGAGTGAGTGAGTGAGCAGGTGAGTGAGTGAGTGAGCAGGTAAGTGAGTGAGTGAGTGAGCAGGTGAGTGAGTGAGTGAGCAGGTGAGTGAGTGAGTGAGCAGGTGAGTGAGTGAGTGAGCAGAGTGAGTGAGTGAGTTGAGTGAGCAGTGAGTGAGTGAGTGCAGGTGAGTGAGTGAGTGAGCAGGTGAGTGAGTGAGTGGCAGGTAATGAGTGAGTGAGTGAGCAGGTGAGTGAGTGAGCAGGTGAGTGAGTGAGTGAGCAGGTGAGTGAGTGAGTGAGCAGGTGAGTGAGTGAGTGAGTGAGCAGTGAGTGAGTGAGTGAGCAGGTGAGTGAGTGAGTGAGTGAGCAGGTGAGTGAGTGAGTGAGCAGGTAAGTGAGTGAGTGAGTGAGCAGTGAGTGAGTGAGTGAGCAGGTGAGTGAGTGAGTGAGCAGGTAGTGAGTGAGTGAGTGAGCAGGTGGTGATTGAGTGAGCAGGTGAGTGAGTGAGTGAGTGAGCAGGTGAGTGAGTGAGTGAGCAGGTGAGTGAGTGAGTGAGTGAGCAGGTGAGTGAGTGAGTGAGCAGGTGAGTGAGTGAGCAGGTGAGTGAGTGAGTGAGTGCAGGTGAGTGAGTGAGTGAGCAGGTGAGTGAGTGAGTGATGAGCAGTGAGTGAGTGAGTGAGCAGTGAGTGAGTGAGTGAGCAGGTGAGTGAGTGAGTGAGCAGGTGAGTGAGTGAGTGAGCAGGTGAGTGAGTGAGTGAGCAGGTGAGTGAGTGAGTGAGTGAGCAGGTGAGTGAGTGAGTGAGCAGGTGAGTGATGAGTGAGCAGGTAAGTGAGTGAGTGAGTGAGCAGGTGAGGAGTGAGTGAGCAGGTGAGTGAGTGAGTGAGCAGGTGAGTGAGTGAGTGAGCAGGTGAGTGAGTGAGTGAGTGAGCAGGTGAGTGAGTGAGTGAGCAGGTGAGTGAGTGAGTGAGTGAGCAGTGATGAGTGAGTGAGCAGGTAAGTGAGTGAGTGAGTGAGTGAGCAGGTGAGTGATGACAGGTGAGTGAGTGAGTGAGCAGTGAGTGAGTGAGTGAGCAGGTGAGTGAGTGAGTGAGTGAGCAGGTGAGTGAGTGAGTGAGCAGGTGAGTGAGTGAGTGAGTGAGCAGGTGAGTGTGAGTGAGCAGGTAAGTGAGTGAGTGAGTGAGCAGGTGAGTGAGTGAGTGAGCAGGTGAGTGAGTGAGTGAGTGAGCAGGTGAGTGAGTGAGTGAGCAGGTAAGTGAGTGAGTGAGTGAGCAGGTGAGTGAGTGAGTGAGCAGGTAAGTGGTGAGTGAGTGAGCAGGTGATGAGTGAGTGAGCAGGTATGAGTGAGTGAGTGAGCAGGTGAGTAGTAGTGACAGGTGAGTGAGTGCGTGAGTGAGCAGGTGAGTGAGTGAGTGAGCAGGAGTGAGATGAGTGAGCAGGTGAGTGAGTGAGTAGTGAGTGAGCAGTGAGTGAGTGAGTGAGCAGGTGAGTGAGTGAGTGAGTGAGCAGTGAGTGAGTGAGTGAGCAGGTAGTGAGTGAGTGGTGAGCAGGAGTGAGTGAGTGAGCAGGTGAGTGTGAGTGAGCAGGTGATGAGTGAGTGAGCAGGTGAGTGAGTGAGTGAGCAGGTAAGTGAGTGAGTGAGTGAGCAGGTGAGTGAGTGAGTGAGCAGTAAGTGAGTGAGTGAGTGAGCAGGTAGTGAGTGAGTGAGCAGGTAGTGAGTGAGTGAGTGAGCAGGTGAGTGAGTGAGTGAGCAGGTGATGAGTGAGTGAGTGAGCAGGTGAGTGAGTGAGTGAGCAGTGAGTGAGTGAGTGATGAGTGAGCAGGTGAGTGAGTGAGTGAGTGAGCAGGTGAGTGAGTGAGTGAGCAGGTGAGTGAGTGAGTGAGTGAGCAGGTGAGTGATGAGTGAGCAGGTAAGTGAGTGAGTGGTGAGCGGTGAGTGTGAGTGAGTGATGAGCAGGTAATGAGTGAGTGAGTGAGCAGGTGAGTGATGAGCAGTGAGTGAGTGAGTGAGTGAGCAGGTGAGTGAGTGAGTGAGCAGGGTGAGTGAGTAGTGAGCAGGTGAGTGAGTGAGTGAGCAGGTGAGTGAGTGAGATGAGTGAGCAGGTTAGTGAGTGAGTGAGTGAGCAGGTGAGTGATGAGTGAGCAGTGAGTGAGTGAGTGAGCAGGTAAGTGAGTGAGTGAGTGAGCAGGTGAGTGAGTGAGTGAGCAGGTGATGAGTGAGTGAGTGAGCAGGTGAGGATGAGTGAGCAGTAAGTGAGTGAGTGAGTGAGCAGGTGAGTGAGTGAGTGAGCAGGTAAGTGAGTGAGTGAGTGAGCAGGTAGTGAGTGAGTGAGCGTGAGTGAGTGAGTGAGTGATGGCAGGTGAGTGAGTGAGTGAGCAGGTGAGTGAGTGAGTGAGTGAGCAGGTGAGTGAGTGAGTGAGCAGGTGAGTGAGTGAGTGAGTGAGCAGGTGAGTGAGTGAGTGAGTGAGTGAGCAGGTGAGTGAGTGAGTGAGCAGGTGAGTGAGTGAGTGCAGGTAAGTGAGTGAGTGAGGAGCAGGTGAGTGAGTGAGTGAGCAGTAAGTGAGTGATGAGTGAGCAGGTGAGTGAGTGAGTGAGCAGGTGAGTGAGTGAGTGAGCAGGTGATGTGAGTGAGTGAGCAGGTGAGTGAGTGAGTGATGGTGAGCAGTAGTGAGTGAGTGAGCAGGTAAGTGAGTGAGTGAGTGAGCAGGTGAGTGAGTGAGTGAGCAGGTAAGTGAGTGAGTGAGTGAGCAGGTGAGTGAGTGAGTGAGCAGGTGAGTGAGTGAGTGAGTGAGCAGGTGAGTGAGTGAGTGAGCAGGTGAGTACGTGAGTGAGTGAGGCAGGTGAGGTGAGTGAGTGAGCAGGTGAGTGAGTGAGTGAGAGGTGAGGAGTGAGTGAGCAGGTGAGTGAGTGATGTGAGCAGGTGAGTGAGTGAGTGAGAGGTGAGTGAGTGAGTGAGTGAGGCTAGGTGAGTGAGTGAGTGAGCAGGTGAGTGAGTGAGTGAGCAGGTAAGTGAGTGAGTGAGTGAGCAGGTGAGTGAGTGAGTGAGCAGGTGAGTGAGTGATGTGAGCAGGTGAGTGAGTGAGGAGTGAGCAGGTAGTGAGTGAGTGAAGTGAGCAGGTGAGTGAGTGAGTGAGCAGGTGACGTGAGTGATGTGAGTGAGCAGGTGAGTGAGTGAGTGAGCAGGTAAGTGAGTGATGGAGGAGTGAGCAGGTGAGTGAGTGAGCAGGTGAGTGAGTGAGTGAGCAGGTGAGTGAGTGAGTGAGCAGGTGAGTGAGTGAGTGAGTGAGCAGGTGAGGAGTGAGTGAGCAGGTGAGTGAGTGAGTGGGAGTGAGCAGGTGAGTGCAGGTGGGAGTGAGAGGTGATGAGTGACTTGAGTGAGCAGGTGTGAGTGAGTGAGCAGGTGAAGTGAGTGTGAGTGATGCAGCAGGAGTGAGTGATGTGAGTGAGCAGGTTAGTGCGTGAAGGAGTGAGCAGGTGAGTGAGTGAGTGAGTGAGCAGGTAAGTGAGTGAGTGATGTGAGCAGGTGAGTGAGTGAGTGAGCAGGTGGTGATGTGAGTGATGTGAGCAGGTGAGTGAGTGAGGAGCAGGGTGAGTGAGTGAGTGAGCAGGTGAGTGAGTGAGTGAGCAGGTGAGTGAGTGAGTGAGTGAGCAGGGCGTGAGTGAGTGAGTGAGTGAGCAGGTGAGTGAGTGAGTGAAGGTGAGCAGGTGAGTGAGTGAGGAGTGAGTGCAGTGAGTGAGGTGAGTGAGGGATTGAGGCAGGTAGTGAGTGAGTGAGTGAGGCAGGTGAGTGAGTGAGTGAGCAGGTGAGTGAGTGAGTGAGCAGGTGAGTGAGTGAGTGAGTGAGTGAGCAGGTGAGTGAGTGAGTGAGCAGGTACGTGAGTGAGTGAGTGAGCAGGTGAGTGAGTGAGGCGCAGGTAAGTGAGTGAGATGAGTGACGCAGGTGATGTGAGTGAGTGAGCAGGTGAGTGAGTGAGTGAGTGAGCAGGTGAGTGAGTGAGTGAGCAGTGAGTGAGTGAGTGAGTGAGCAGGTGAGTGAGGTGAGTGAGCGAGTGAGTGAGCAGGTGAGTGAGTGAGTGAGCAGTGAGTGAGTGAGTGAGCAGGTAAGTGAGTGAGTGAGTGAGCAGGTGAGTGAGTGAGTGAGCAGTGAGTGAGTGAGTGAGTGAGCAGGGATGAGTGAGTGAGCAGGTAAGTGAGTGAGTGAGTGAGCAGTGAGTGAGTGAGTGCAGTAAGTGAGTGAGTGAGTGAGCAGGTGAGTGAGTGAGTGAGGTGAGTGAGTGAGTGAGTGAGTGAGCAGGTGAGTGAGTGAGTGAGCATGAGTGAGAGAGTGAGTGAGCAGGTGAGTGAGTGAGTGAGCAGGTGAGTGAGTGAGTGAGTGAGCAGGTGAGTGAGTGAGTGAGTGAGTGAGCAGGTGAGTGAGTGATGAGCAGGTGAGTGAGTGAGTGAGAGGTAAGTGAGTATGAGTGAGCAGGTGAGTGAGTGAGTGAGCAGGTAAGTGATGAGTGAGTGAGCAGGTGAGTGAGTGAGTGAGCAGGTGATGAGTGAGTGAGCAGGTGAGTGAGTGAGTGAGTGAGCAGGTGAGTGAGTGAGTGAGTGAGTGAGCAGGAGTGAGTGAGTGAGCAGGTAAGTGAGTGAGAGTGAGCAGGTGAGTGAGTGAGTGAGCAGGTAAGTGAGTGAGTGAGTGAGCAGGTGAGTGAGTGAGTGAGCAGTGAGTGAGTGAGTGAGTGAGCAGGTGAGTGAGTGAGTGAGCAGGTGAGTGAGTGAGTGAGTGAGCAGGTGAGTGAGTGAGTGAGCAGGTGAGTGAGTGAGTGAGTGAGTGAGCAGGTGAGTGAGTGAGTGAGTGAGTGAGCAGGTGAGTGAGTGAGTGAGCAGGTGATGAGTGAGTGAGCAGGTAAGTGAGTGAGTGAGTGAGCAGGTGAGTGAGTGAGTGAGCAGGTAAGTGAGTGAGTGAGTGAGCAGGTGAGTGAGTGAGTGAGCAGGTGAGTGAGTGAGTGAGCAGGTGAGTGAGTGAGCAGGTGAGTGAGTGAGTGAGCAGGTGAGTGAGTGATTGAGTGAGCAGGTGAGTGGGAGTGAGCAGGTGAGTGAGTGAGTGAGTGAGCAGGTGAGTGAGTGATGTGAGCAGGTAGTGAGTGAGTGAGTGAGCAGGTGAGTGAGTGAGTGAGCAGGTAGAGTGAGTGCGTGAGCAGGTGAGTGAGTGATCGTGAGCAGGTAGGTGAGTGAGTGGTGAGCAGGTGAGGAGTGAGTGAGCAGGTAAGTGAGTGAGGAGTGAGCAGGTGAGTGAGTGGAGTGAGCAGGTAGTGACGTGAGTGAGTGAGCAGGTGAGTGAGTGAGTGAGCAGGTGAGTGAGTGAGTGAGTGGAAGGTGAGTGAGTGCAGCAGTGAGGTGAGTGAATGGAGTGAGTGAGCAGGTGAGTGAGGTGAGTGAGCAGGTGAGTGAGTGAGTGATGAGCAGGTGAGTGATGTGAGTGAGCAGGTGAGTGAGGCGAGTGAGTGAGCAGGTGAGTGAGTGAGTGGCGCAGGACAGTGAGTGAGTGAGTGAGCAGGAAGTGAGGAGTGAGTTGAGCAGGTGAGTGAGTGAGTGAGCAGGTGAGTGAGTGAGTTGAGTGAGCAGGTGAGTGAGGTGAGTGAGCAGGTAAGTGAGTGAGTGAGTGGCAGGTGAGTGAGTGAGTGAGCAGGTAAGTGAGTGAGTGAGCAGGTGAGTGATGTGAGTGAGCAGGTTAGGTGAGTGAGTGAGCAGGGTGAGTGAGTGAGTGAGCAGGTGAGTGAGTGAGTGACGTGAGCAGGTGAGTGAGTGAGTGAGCAGGTGAGTGAGTGAGTGAGTGAGCAGGTGAGTGAGTGAGTAGAGCAGGTGAGTGAGTGAGTGAGTGAGCAGGTGAGTGAGTGAGTGAGCAGGTGAGTGCGTGATGTGAGCAGGTGAGTGAGTGAGTGACTGAGTGAGTGAGCAGGTGAGTGAGTGAGCGAGCGACTCACTGGCCTGGATGAGGCTGTAGTGGGTCACTGAGTGAGCGGGTGAGTGAGCCAGTGAGTGAATCAATGAGCGAGTGAGTGGTTGAGTAAGCAGGTGAGTGAGTGAGTGAGCAGGTGAGTGAGTGATCGTGAGCAGGTGAGTGAGTGAGCGAGCGACTCAATGTCCTGGACGAGGTTGTAGTGGGTCACTGAGTGAGTGAGCAGGTGAGTGAGTGAGTGATGTGAGCGATGTGAGTGAGCAGGTGAGTGAGTGAGCAGGTGAGTGAGTGAGCAGGTGAGTGAGTGAGTGAGCAGGTGAGTGAGTGAGTGAGCGAGCGAGCGAGTGAGTGAGTGAGCAGGTGAGTGAGTGAGCAGGTGAGTGAGTGAGCAGGTGAGTGAGTGAGTGAGCAGGTGAGTGAGTGAGCAGGTGAGTGAGTGAGTGAGCAGGTGAGTGAGTGAGTGAGTGACTGAGTGAGTGAGCAGGTGAGTGAGTGAGCGAGCGACTCACTGGCCTGCACGAGGCTGTAGTGAGCCAATGAGTGAGTGGGCGAGTGAATCGGCGAGCGAGTGAGTGGGCGAGTGAGCGAAATCAGTGAGCATGTGAGCGAGCGGGTGAGCGACCGCGTGAGCGAGCAAGCGAGCGAGCGGGGGAGCGAGCGGGCGACTGAGCGAGTGACCGCGCGAGCGAACGAGCGGGGGCGACTCACCGGCCTGCACCAGCGAGTCGTACATGAGGGTGGCAGCTTGCGCGTGGCGCAGCGCGATCAGCTCCTGCAAGGCCTCCACGCTGGCGCCCTCCCTCAGCGGACGCAGCTGCTGCGGCATGAACCCCTGCCGCGCACACGGACACAAATCGTTGCACCTCATGAGTTGGCGATGACGTCACCTGCTGCTGCTGCTGCTGCTGCTCTAGTTAAGAACGCGAGACAGAGCAGAGCCCCTCACCATTCTGGCGAATTGCCCGATGGATGCAATTACCAGCGAAACGTCGTGCTACTCAAAACTTGCAAATGTTGTGGTTTCACGCTTCAACACACCGGTGGGCTAAAGCAGCGAACTATTTCGTATTTTGTCAACGTGACACTTTTTTTTGCCGATTGGCCGTGTCGGGTGGTGGAGGGTTACGACACATTTATAAATAACGCAGCCATCTAAACCCAAACACGTTGATTATGAACAAGGACAAAGATCCCCCGCGTAGCGCACACAGGCTGTTGGGGCAAGTGCTGTCGGCGAGTATGAGGTGCGGGTGTAACAGGTGTGGCGTGAGCGGGTGTGAGGAGCTGTGAGGATGTGTGAGGAGGTGTCCTACTGGAATGTGAGGCTCCGCCTGCTGCTTGGTGAACAGGTGAGGGTAGTTGTTGACGATGTATTTCGCTGCATTCTTCCCCGACTCTTGAGCCAGCTTAAAGAGTTTCTGTCGACACACGACGCACACACACACACACACACGTTACACACAGACACACGTTACGCACACACATGTTACACACACACGTTACACACACACGTTACACACACGTTACACACACACACGTTACACACACACACGTTACACACACACACGTTACACTTACATACACACGTTACACACACACGTTACACACACACACGTTACACACACGTTACACACACACACACACGTTACACACACACACACGTTACACACGTTACACACACACGTTACACACACCGTTACACACACGTTACACACACACACGTTACACCAACACACACACACACACGTTACACACACACACGTTACACACACACACACGTTACACACGTTACACACACACACACACGTTACACACACACACACACACGTTACAGACACACAAGTTACACACAAGTTACACACACACACACGTTACAGACACACACACACGTTACACACACACACACGTCACACACACACACGTCGCACACACACACGTCGCACACACACACGTCGCACACACACACGTCGCACACACACACGTCACACACACACACACACGTTACACACACACACGTCACACACACGTTACACACACACACACACGTTACACACACACACACACACGTTACAGACACACACACACACACGTTACACACAAGTTACACACACACGTTACAGACACACACACACGTTACACACACACACACGTACACACACACAACGTCGCACACACACACGTCGCACACACACACGTCGCACACCACACACGTCGCACACACACACGTTACACACACACACACACGTTACACACACACACGTCACACACACGTTACACACACACACGTTACACACACACACACGTTACACACACACACTTTACACACACACACGTTACACACACACACACGTTGCACACACACACACACGTTACACACACACATTACACACACACACGTTACACACACGTACGTTACACACACACACACGTTACACACACACATTACACACACACACATTACACACACATTACACACACACACGTTACACACACGTTACACACACACACGTTACACACACACACGTTACACACACACACGTTACACACACGTTACACACACACACACGTTACACACACGTTACACACACGTTACACACACACACGTTACACACACACACGTTACACACACACACGTTACACACACACACGTTACACACACGTTACACACACACAGACACTCGCTGGGTTTTATCCGCCCGGCGCTCCGCTCGTTGTTGCGAGCGTCGCTCCTCCGCCCTCCGCCCTTGCTGGTTAGCGACTGCACGAACCTCCGCAAGACACAAACTCGCGCTCACTCGCGCACACTCTCACCCGCACACTCGCCCACCCACTCACTCGCCCACACTCTCACCCGCACACTCGCTCACCCACCCACTCACTCGCGCACACTCTCACCCGCACACTCACTCACCCACTCACTCGCGCACACTCTCACCTGCACACTCACTCACCCACTCACTCGCGCACACTCTCACCCGCACACTCACTCACCCACTCACTCGCGCACACTCTCACCCGCACACTCGCCCACCCACTCACTCGCCCACAGTACCTCACCTGCTCGGCCATGTTGATCGGGGTGAGGTAGCGATCATCCTGGAGGGTGTAGTGCCACGCAGTTGGGTCCTGAGCGGAGACGGCACACCGACAAAACCAGGGAGATATTTCTACAGCGCGCACATACAGGACGGTGTACGCACGCGTGAACGTGTGCGTGTGTGTGTGTGTAACGCCAATGGATGGGCAGGTGTGGTGGTGGTGGTGGTGAGGGTGTGTGTAATCTCAGTCGGTGGGCAGGGGCGGTGGTGGTGGTGGTGGTGAGCATGTGTGTAATCTCAGTCGGTAGGCAGGGGCGGTGGTGGTGGTGGTGGTGAGGGTGTGTGTAATCTCAGTCGGTGGGCAGGGGTGGTGGTGGTGGTGAGGGTGTGTGTAATCTCAGTCGGTGGGCAGGGGCGGTGGTGGTGGTGGTGGTGAGGGTGTGTGTAATCTCAGTCGGTGGGCAGGGACGGTGGTGGTGGTGGTGAGGGTGTGTGTAATCTCAGTCGGTGGGCAAGGGCGGTGGTGGTGGTGGTGGTGAGGGTGTGTGTAATCTCAGTCGGTGGGCAGGGGGCGGTGGTGGTGGTGGTGGTGAGGGTGTGTGTAATCTCAGTCGGTGGGCAGGGGCGGTGGTGGTGGTGGTGGTGAGGGTGTGTGTAATCTCAGTGGGTGGGCAGGTGTGGTGGTGGTGAGCGTGTGTGTAATCTCAGTCGGTGGGCAGGTGTGGTGGTGGTGAGCGTGTGTGTAATCTCAGTCGGTGGGCAGGGGGCGGTGGCGGTGGTGGTGGTGAGCGTGTGTGTAATCTCAGTCGGTGGGCAGGGGCGGTGGTGGTGGTGGTGGTGAGGGTGTGTGTAATCTCAGTCGGTGGGCAGGGGCGGTGGCGGTGGTGGTGAGGGTGTGTGTAATCTCAGTCGGTGGGCAGGGGCGGTGGCGGTGGTGGTGGTGAGGGTGTGTGTAATCTCAGTCGGTGGGCAGGGGCGGTGGTGGTGGTGGTGAGGGTGTGTGTAATCTCAGTGGGTGGGCAGGGGGCAGTGGTGGTGGTGGTGGTGGTGAGCGTGTGTGTAATCTCAGTCGGTGGGCAGGTGTGACGATCGTGGGGTTGGTGGTGGTGGTGGTGGTGAGCATGTGTGTAATCTCAGTCGGTGGGCAGGGGTGGTGGTGGTGGTGGTGAGGGTGTGTGTAATCTCAGTCGGTGGGCAGGGGTGGTGGTGGTGGTGGTGGTGAGGGTGTGTGTAATCTCAGTCGGTGGGCAGGGGTGGTGGTGGTGGTGGTGGTGAGGGTGTGTGTAATCTCAGTCGGTGGGCAGGGGTGGTGGTGGTGGTGGTGGTGAGGGTGTGTGTAATCTCAGTCGGTGGGCAGGGGGCGGTGGTGGTGGTGGTGAGGGTGTGTGTAATCTCAGTCGGTGGGCAGGGGTGGTGGTGGTGGTGGTGGTGAGGGTATGTGTAATCTCAGTCGGTGGGCAGGGGCGGTGGTGGTGGTGGTGGTGAGGGTGTGTGTAATCTCAGTCGATGGGCAGGGGCGGTGGTGGTGGTGAGCGTGTGTGTAATCTCAGTCGGTAGGCAGGTGTGGTGGTGGTGGTGGTGAGCGTGTGTGTAATCTCAGTCGGTGGGCAGGTGTAGTGGTGGTGGTGAGCGTGTGTGTAATCTCAGTCGGTGGGCAGGGGCGGTGGCGGTGGTGGTGGTGAGGGTGTGTGTAATCTCAGTCGGTAGGCAGGGGCGGTGGCGGTGGTGGTGGTGAGGGTGTGTGTAATCTCAGTCGGTGGGCAGGTGTAGTGGTGGTGGTGGTGGTGAGCGTGTGTGTAATCTCAGTGGGTGGGCAGGGGCGGTGGTGGTGAGGGTGTGTGTAATCTCAGTCGGTGGGCAGGGGGCGGTGGTGGTGGTGGTGGTGGTGGTGAGGGTGTGTGTAATCTCAGTCGGTGGGCAGGGGGCGGTGGTGGTGGTGGTGGTGGTGGTGAGGGTGTGTGTAATCTCAGTCGGTGGGCAGGGGGCGGTGGTGGTGGTGAGGGTGTGTGTAATCTCAGTCGGTGGGCAGGAGCGGTGGTGGTGGTGAGGGTGTGTGTAATCTCAGTGGGTGAGCAGGTGTGGTGGTGGTGGTGTGTGTAATCTCAGTCGGTGGGCAGGGGCGGTGGTGGTGGTGAGGGTGTGTGTAATCTCAGTGGGTGAGCAGGTGTGGTGGTGGTGAGGGTGTGTGTAATCTCAGTGGGTGGGCAGGGGCGGTGGTGGTGGTGGTGGTGAGGGTGTGTGTAATCTCAGTCGGTGGGCAGGGGGCGGTGGTGGTGGTGGTGAGGGCGTGTGTAATCTCAGTCGGTGGGCAGGGGCGGTGGTGGTGGTGGTGGTGAGGGTGTGTGTAATCTCAGTCGGTGGGCAGGGGCGGTGGTGGTGGTGAGGGTGTGTGTAATCTCAGTGGGTGAGCAGGTGTGGTGGTGGTGGTGAGCGTGTGTGTAATCTCAGTCGGTGGGCAGGGGGCGGTGGTGGTGGTGGTGAGGGTGTGTGTAATCTCAGTGGGTGGGCAGGGGGCAGTGGTGGTGGTGAGGGTGTGTGTAATCTCAGTCGGTGGGCAGGTGTGACGATCGTGGGGTTGGTGGTGGTGGTGGTGGTGAGCGTGTGTGTAATCTCAGTCGGTGGGCAGAGGCGGTGGTGGTGGTGGTGAGGGTGTGTGTAATCTCAGTCGGTGGGCAGGGGCGGTGGTGGTGGTGGTGGTGTGGCAGACCCTACCGGGGCCACGGTGCGGGCAAGGCATCTCAGCACGGCCGTGCGCTCCCTGGATCACAGGGAACACACGACAACTCATCACGTGACGTGTCGCGGCACGTGAAGCATCCGTGGCATCACGTCGCAGTGCCGGTCACTGCGCTTGACGCCGCAGCACGCGGCGCTCCAGGTGATCACGTGACATAAACGGGAGTACCAGCAGAGGTGTGCACGTGACGCGAACGTGTGATGTGTGCACGTGTGTGACGTGTGTCCGTGACGCGCGTGTGCGACGCGCGTGCGTGACGCGTGTGTGCGACGCGCGTGTGAAGCGTGTGTGTGACCCATGTGTGTGTGTGTGTGACACAAATGTGCGTGACGCGTCGTGTGCGACGCGCGTGTGAAGCGTGTGTGTGACCTATGTGTGTGTGTGTGACCCATGTGTGTGTGTGTGACACATATGTGCGTGACGTGTGGCACAAACCATGTCTTCCGTCGGGGAATGACAATTCCACCTTGGAGAGGCTCTGAGCAGACGGGCGCACACACCACCAACACACGTCCCACATTACCACCACGCACACCTCTACGTGACCACACGCACGGCAAAGATCCCCCATGTAGCCTTGACAGACTTTTGACCATCACCACCACCAACCCCTGCCATAATCACCACCAGCATCTACTGCCACCATCAATCACCACCACCAATCACTGCCATCACCACGACCAACCACTGGCACCATCACCAACCACTGCCACCATCACCACCACCACCATCATCATCATCTTAGGGACATGGCCAAAGTCACCTGATCGCTTCTCTGCTGACACCTGCTGCTGGGCACGGACGATGCTCGTGCAGAAGCTGCTCACGGGGACAGGGAGACACAGAGACACGGGGACAGGGAGACACGGGGACAGGGAGACACGGGGACAGGGAGACACGGAGACAGGGAGACACGGAGACACGGGGACATGGAGACACGGGGACAGGGAGACACGGGGACAGGGAGACACGGGGACAGAGAGACAGGGAGACACGGGGACAGGGAGACACGGGGACAGGGAGACACGGGGATAGGGAGACACGGGGACACGGAGACACGGGGACAGGGAGACACGGGGACAGGGAGACAGGGGGACAGGGAGACACGGGGACAGGGAGACACGGGGACACGGAGACAGGGAGACACGGGGGACAGGGAGACACGGGGACAGGGAGACACGGGGACACGGAGACACGGGGACAGGGAGACACGGGGGACAGGGAGACACGGGGACAGGGAGACACGGGGACAGGGAGACACGGGGACAGGGAGACACGGAGACACGGGGACAGGGAGACACGGGGACAGGGAGACACGGGGACAGGGAGACACGGGGACAGGGAGACACGGGGACAGGGAGACACGGGGACAGGGAGACACGGGGACAGGGAGACACGGGGACACGGGGACAGGGAGACACGGGGACAGGGAGACACGGGGACAGGGAGACAGGGAGACAGCGAGACACGGGGACAGGGAGACACGGGGATAGGGAGACACGGGGATAGGGAGACACGGGGACAGGGAGACACGGGGACAGGGAGACACGGGGGCAGGGAGACATGGAGACAGGGAGACACGGGGACAGGGAGACACGGGGACAGGGAGACACGGGGACAGGGAGACACGGAGACAGGGAGACACGGGGACAGGGAGACACGGGGACAAGGAGACACGGGGACAGGGAGACACGGGGACACGGGGACAGGGAGACACGGGGACAGGGAGACACGGGGACAGGGAGACAGGGAGACAGCGAGACACGGGGACAGGGAGACATGGGGATAGGGAGACACGGGGACAGGGAGACACGGGGACAGGGAGACACGGGGGCAGGGAGACACGGGGACAGGGAGACACGGGGACAGGGAGACACGGAGACAGGGAGACACGGGGACAGGGAGACAGGGAGACAGGGAGACACGGAGACAGGGAGACACGGAGACAGGGAGACACGGAGACAGGGAGACACGGAGACAGGGAGACACGGAGACAGGGAGACAGGGAGACACGGGGACAGGGAGACACGGGGACAGGGGGACACGGGGACAGAGAGACACGGGGACAGGGGGACACGGGGACAGGAGACACGGAGACACGGAGACAGGGAGACACGGAGACAGGGAGACACGGAGACAGGGAGACAGGGAGACACGGAGACAGGGAGACACGGAGACAGGGAGACACGGAGACAGGGAGACACGGGGGACAGGGAGACACGGAGACAGGGAGACACGGAGACAGGGAGACAGGGGGACACGGGGACAGGGAGACACGGGGACAGGGAGACACGGGGACAGGGAGACAGGGAGACACGGAGACAGGGAGACACGGGGACAGGGAGACACGGGGACAGGGAGACACGGGGACAGGGAGACACGGGGACAGGGAGACACGGGGACAGGAGACACGGGGACAGGGAGACACGGGGACAGGGAGACACGGGGGACAGGGAGACACGGGGACAGGGAGACACGGGGACAGGGAGACACGGGGACAGGGAGACACGGGGACAGGGAGACACGGGACAGGGAGACACGGGGACACGGGGACAGGGAGACACGGGGACACGGGGACAGGGAGACACGGGGACAGGGAGACACCGGGGACAGGGAGACACGGGACAGGGGGACACGGGGACAGGGAGACACGGGGACCAGGGAGACACGGGGACAGGGAGACACGGGGACAGGGAGACACGGGGACACGGGGACAAGGGAGACACGGGGACAGGGAGACAGGGAGACACGGGGACAGGGAGACACGGGGACAGGGAGACACGGAGACACGGGGACAGGGAGACACGGGGACAGGGAGACACGGGGACAGGGAGACACGGGGACAGGGAGACACGGGGACACGGGACAGGGAGACACGGGGACAGGGAGACACGGGGACAGGGAGACAGGGAGACACGGAGACAGGGAGACACGGGGACAGGGAGACACGGGGACAGGGAGACACGGGGACAGGGAGACACGGGGACAGGGACAGGAGACACGGGGACAGGGAGACACGGGGACAGGGAGACACGGGACAGGGAGACACGGGGACAGGGAGACAGGGAGACACGGGGACAGGGGACAGGGGGACAGGGAGACACGGGGACAGGGAGACACGGGGACAGGGAGACACGGGGACAGGGAGACACGGGGACAGGGAGACACGGGGACACGGGGACAGGGAGACACGGGGACACGGGGACAGGGAGACACGGGGACAGGGAGACACGGGGACAGGGAGACAGGGAGACAGCGAGACACGGGGGACAGGGAGACACGGGGACAGGGAGACACGGGGACAGGGAGACACGGGGACAGGGAGACACGGGGACACGGGGACAGGGAGACACGGGGACAGGGAGACACGGGGACAGGGAGACACGGGGACAGGGAGACACGGGGACAGGGAGACACGGGGACAGGGAGACACGGAGACACGGGGACAGGGAGACACGGGGACAGGGAGACACGGGGACAGGGAGACACGGGGACACGGGGACAGGGAGACACGGAGACACGGAGACAGGGAGACACGGGGACAGGGAGACACGGGGACAGGGAGACACGGGGACAGGGAGACACGGGGACAGGGAGACACGGGGACAGGGAGACACGGGGACAGGGAGACACGGGGACACGGGGACAGGGAGACACGGGGACAGGGAGACACGGGGACAGGGAGACACGGGGACAGGGAGACACGGGGACAGGGAGACACGGGGACAGGGAGACACGGAGACAGGGAGACACGGGGACAGGGAGACACGGGGACAGGGAGACACGGGGACACGGGGACAGGGAGACACGGGGACAGGGAGACACGGGGACAGGGAGACACGGGGACAGGGAGACACGGGGACAGGGAGACACGGAGACAGGGAGACACGGGGACAGGGAGACACGGGGACAGGGAGACACGGGGACAGGGAGACACGGGGACAGGGAGACACGGGGACACGGGGACACGGAGACATGGGGACAGGTGATGATTGTTAGTTTATTGTACAAGTGTCGAGTAATCATGGTGATGTTGTTGTTGTTGTAGGAGTGGTTGGTGTTAGTTGTTGTGGTGTTTCGCAGCTCTTGTGGTTGTGATCTCGTGGTTGTGGCTGTACCCCGCGGTGGCATGCTGTGCTCTAGAGTTATAATGAATTGATGTTGTTGTTGATTGTTGTTGTTGTATCATGGTTGCTGTACATTACAGTACTTGTAGTAACGATGGTACCGGTTGGTGGTGGCTGTGATCACGTGACTGTACCTCGTGGTGGTGGTGGTGGTGGAGGGTTGCTGTATGATTATCGTGATTGTTGTCAATGCTGTTGATTGTTGTTGGTCGTTGTATGCAGATTGTTGTGCGGTAGTTGTGGTTGGTGAGTGGCAGTGATCACGTGGTGCGTGGTGGTGCTGCTGGGTTGCCGCATTGCGAGCGTGCGTGCGAACGCTGTTGTCGTCGTCGTGGTTACTGGCTGTCGTCAAGGTTACAGGCTGTCGTCAAGGTGACTGGCTGTCGTCATGGTGACTGGCTGTCGTCATGGTTACCCGTTCTCCCTGCTCCTCTGCGCGACCCTGAGCAGCGCGTGTCTCTGCGGC